CCAAAGAGCTGCAGGAGCTTCACTCAACCCCAGGCCTTCTTGGCCTCCGGCTCCCTCTGCCCCCAAGGCCCAACATCTGGGAGAACTTTGAACTGTTTCCCACTCAGGCAGCAAGAACCAAAAAAAAAAAAAAAAAAAAAAATTTGCTCCAGTGAACACCAACTCCATCTTCCTTAACTGGAAACATCTGCCCAGCATGGCGCATCCCTCAGACACCCCCACCACTCCTGCTCAGCTGAGTCGCAGGAGACCCTGGCCAAGGCAGGGGCAGCCAGAGCAGGGCAGGGATTGACTGATAGAGCCCAGCTGTTATCGATAAGAAAGCAACTGTTGCTGGATTCCCTGGCTCCTTCGGAAAAGGTGTCTGAACTGTGTATATGCAGGAGGGGGAGAAAAATCCAATCGTTTTAGGAGTTTAAAAAGTGATTGTTTTAAAATGAACAGGGTAAAAACAAAAACAAAAGCCAGAATCACAAGTGACTTTTGAGAACCCGGCAAATCAAGGCAGCCCTGTTTCCCTTTGGTAGAAGCCTGGCTGACTTTGCTTTCTGGCCTCCTCAATCTTCCTTTTGCATAAATAGCCTGAACATGCTCTTTCCCAGAGGAAGTTGTCTGTGTAAACAAACATCACCCAGATAGAAGTTTAACCCGCTTAATCTTCCGTCCTCCCTCTCTGAACAAGGATGTAACCCAGCTTTCCAAAGTCCAAGCAAAACCCTGGATTCCCAACCTGGTCCAAAATCTCCATGTCCAGCTCCTATCAAGGCTACAGGCCCTGGTCAGGCACTGCGGAGAAAAATCAGACCTTCAGCTGCCAGAGCAGCCATGTGACCCACTGGGTGACTCACAGGCCGGCCACACCCCTTGCGGTCTCCCGCCAGGCCCTGCCACCAGCCAGTCAGCCAACACTGGGATGCATCTTATTACCAGAGGGAACAGCCAACAAATGCCCTTGACAGCCAAATTAGCCTTTCAGCTGAAAGGCTTTGCTATAAAGTAAATACAGGTACAAGTGGATACAGGCTCTGGTGAGATGGGCCAGCTCCTCACATCCTCTCCCTACCCCCCTCCCCAGGGGTCATGGGAAGCCAGGATAGGAGACCTACTACAGTTTAAAGAGAACACTCCTTTTAGGCAGGAATACTTTTTCCCAAAAAATTTTATTGGGGGAAACTACAAAACATTTACAGTACAATGTTTACAGTCACAATCTGTAGTGAACTGATTCCCCAGAATATATTACAAACTCAAGTTGACTCATCTTGTTACATTCAAAAACCTACTTCTGTCAAAGTAGTCCCGAGTCCGCACAGGGTGCTCCACTGTACCTACATACAAACTAAGCGCCTGCTCATTCATCCGCCATCCAGGAAGGCCTAGGAGACGGTCCTACCTTTTTACATTGAAAACTAATAGTACAAGTTTTGGGCTGTCGTGAAACAAGGCATATTCATGTTCTACAGACCATTTCACCCCTAAGATGACCCTAAGATGACCCTCTTCACTTTATTGCTGGATAAAAGAGTGGTAAAAAACACTTTTCCTTTTGTGCAGGTGAACCCATCCGACATTCAAATTCTCTCAAGCACTAAAGAAATACTTATTTGGTTGAGGAAGATTTAAGGCAAGTTCGGGCCCTACGAAGGCACTGAGACCATTTCCCCATTATTGCTACATGTCTTATACTCAATGTCACAGTAGAACTGGTGGAATCTTCGCTGGTTTATAAAGCTGGACTGGCAAAGCATGCCACATGTGAGCCTGCCTCAGACTATGTGGTCATTCTTTCTTTCTCTGTAAAGCTCGATGGGCCACAACCATTATACATTCTAAGAAAAACTCAAAATGTTCTCAAACTACTTCCACAGCATCAAGATAGATAGATTTCTGTAAAGAAATCATGCAATCTTTTGAAATTTACGTAAACACAAGGAAAGAAATTAATGAAATAAATATTACATACAATCTCTTAAATTAAGATTTTCTTACTCATTTACAATAAAATAACCAAGTGAAGTTACAAAAGGCATATATTACTGTGAAAAGAACATACACTCCACATTTTGCCGATTAATAATGGCAATTATAATTTAACATAATAAAAGAATATATATCTATTGCTTTTCATCATACTCGATAAATACAGTATGAACAACACCCTCAATGTATACTTTTCACAAGATAATAAATAAGTTAAATAGTTTTTTTTTCATATTGAGTTGTGGTGCAGTGGTGCGAATCAACTCAAGACAGGTAAAAATGAAGCACTTACTTCCCAACAATTATGAACTGAGCTCTGCTCAAGGCTTCCAGAGAGCAGAGGAAATGGTTCTAAGCGAAACACCCACCAAGTGGTGGCAATGAGACCAGTATCAAACTTTGGAATGCAAGGGTCCCCCCCACCCCCAAACATATATAACTTTGTTAAAAAAACAAAAACAAGAAAAACAACCGCGACAAACGGGGCTGAAGGCTACTCGTTTCAAGGCATGTTCTTGGCATTACACACTGAATCTAGACTCATAGTTGAGGGAGGTGGCAGTCTGCTGGCTCGCACTGGTCTGAGACAAACACTAGGAACCCCTTCCAAGGTAAGAGTCCTCACATCTGGACTGTAACTAAGGCTTTCAAGTGAAAGAAGAGATGGAATGTGGTTTTAGCTGCTGGTGCTGGGCTGATGTTTTGTTTTTTGTAACTAGATTTTCAAACTCAGAATCTGAGACCTAAACAAGTGTTTGGTATCTTTTGTTCTATCGCATCACAACCGTCTGTTGTGAATATTTTGTTCATCCACACAAAAAGTTCGTTGGCTTCTATTTCAACAAGAACGAAACTTTGTAATAATAATAATAATAAAATAAAAAACCAAAACAAGAAAACCGAAAGGGGAGGGAGGGGCAGGACCCCTCCCAGCAGAGTTCGAGTCCAAGTGCTCGGCCCGGACCTGCAAGTCGGGCCTGCGGCAGTGTCACCCATACCCGGGGCTCCCTGCAGCGCCTCTCCCAACCCCTCGCGGGCGCCCTCTTGCCTCAGTCGTCGGAGATGGAGAGGCGGCTGAAGATGGGCAGGCGGCGGCCGGGGTCCAGGCTGGGGGACTCAGAACCGCTGAGACTGCCGGAGCTCAGCGAGCCGCTCAGGTAGCTGTCGCGGTCCGACAGCGAGTCCGGGGGGCTGGGGGGCGCGTCGAACACGGGCGACTCGGACAGACGGCGCGGCAGCTGGAAACCAAAGGGCGGAGAGGGCGGCGCGGGGGCCGCGGGGGGTTGCGCAGTGGGTGGCAAGAGCCCCGCCAGGCCCTGCTGCTGGCGGTAGTAGGCGGCGGCCGCGGCGGCGAAGCTGTGGGTCTGGATGGCAAGCGGCGTGATGAGGCTGCTCAGCTCCGGGCCGAAGGCGAAGGCGTTGTTGGCACACGAGCTGGCCGAACAGGTGGCGCACGGGGCTCCGGAAGGCAGCAGGTCCTCGGCGTTCCCGGGCCCGTAGAGCAGCGCGGCTGCCGCAGCAGCCGCCGCCGAGGCGCAGCACGTCGGGGCGCCCGAGGGCGTGGATGCCGCCGACGTGGAGGAGCAGGAAGAGGCAGAAGAGGAACAGGATGAGGCCGAGGAGCAGGAGGGCGGCGGCGGAGTACGCGATGTAGGGCTGTCGAGCAGCAGCGGCGACTCCAGACCTCCCGGCGGCTGGTGGTGACCCGAAGGGAAGCCCGAGAAACTGAGGCTGTGATGCAGCTTGGGCCGCGGCTCCCGGGCGAAGCCCAGGTGCAGGGCATCGCGCGCGCCAAACGCTCGCAGGTCCCCAGAGGCGCCCCCCGATGGCGCGGGCCGCCGCTCTTCTGCGTTGTGGATGAAATGGCAGCGCGGGCCGTAGGGGCAGAAGCCGATGGTGTGGAAGGTGCGGCACAGCTCCGTCTTATACTTGGGGTGCCGAGTGAGGCTGCGCAGCTCGTGGAAACCGTGCGCGAACTGGCACTTCTCGCCGTACTTGCACGTGCCGCTCTCCTCGAAGGGGCGGCACAGCTCGGTCTTGTAGCGCGTAGAGTTGATCTGGGAGCCGCTACCCCCCTTCTGCTGCTGCTGTTGCTGCTGCAGGTGCAGGAGGTGCTGGCTGCGATCGCCGTTCTCGCTGAACGAGCGGTCCCGGAATTTGCTCTCCTTGTTGACCAGCGCCGTGCCGCCGCTGCCCCCTGAAGGCTCCTTGAGCTGGCCATAGGAGGCCGGGCCTCCCGCGCCTGCGGGACCGCAGCCGCCGCCGTTAGGGGCGCCTGGGAACTTGGGCGAGCAGCTGCCCGGGCTGGGCGCGGGGTGGGCAAGCGCGTGTAGGTTGCTGGCCGAGTGGCGTCGCAGGAAGCCCGGCGTGAAGCTCGAGCTGTTGGCAGCAGCCACGGGCGTCCCCACCGCCTTCTTGTCCAGCATGTTGTTCAGATTGAGGTTGGTCAGGGATTTCTCCGTCTGCCAAAGGGAGGGGAGTGGGGAAGGGATGAAGATCGAAAGGAAAGAGTTGGGGAGGACTACAGGGTGAACGCCTAGTCCCAACTGCCACCTTCTTTTCTCCTGCCGATTTCAATTCAGCCTCCACCGTTACACTCGCAAAAAGCAGGCCGGCGAGAGTGGAGGACGCCCACTCGGGCCGCGCCGGGTTTGGCCATGTGATCCTGGGCCCGTGGCCACGGGGTGGGCGGCGCAAACACTGTCCGGGAAGTCCCGGGAGCGTGGCCGCAGTCGGCTCGGGAGGAGAGCCGCAGCTCCAGCCGCTACTCCTACCCTCCCAGCTCTCCACGCCCACAGTCACAAGCACACAGGGCTGCTAATGCTAACTCCAGGACTTCCCTCCACCCGAAAAGTCAACTTGGAAGGGTTCTTCCGCTCCAACCGGGCCCGGCAGCCAAGTCTCGAACTCTAAGGGTTCCAGGCAGCCCGCCATCCTTCCCCGCTGTTCGGCTTACCTTGCATAAGAAGTCGATATCGTAGAAAGCGGACAGGAGTGTGGTCGACATTTTTTCTGGGTCCTGTAATGGTCGGAACTGCAAGCGGGAAGGGATGGGAGGAGCCCTCGGTGCGGCGCGGCCCGGCTCGAACCGAGACGAATAACGGGCAGGAGAGAGGCGGGGAGAGACGGAAAGTTTGCTTGCGGGGTCGTAGAGGAGGACGAGGAGGGAGGAGGCCGCGGAGCGGAGTGGGGGGGCAGAGGAGAAGCGAGAGCGCAGCTCGGCGCCCCGGCCCGCCCCCCGCGCGAGCCGACGGCAGCTCGCAGACTGGTGGAACTCCGAGAGCTGCGAGCGCGCGCCCTATATAGAGCCCGGGAGCCGCGCGGCGGCGGGGCAAAGCGCACCGGGGGAGGGGACTGAACGCTGACCCGCCGGGGTCTCCAGGCAACGCCGCCCGCCGGCTTGCGGGCGTCAGGCGCCTTCTCGGCCTCTCATTGGTCGCCGCCAATTTTTCCCCCCCGGGGGGGCAGGGGGCGGAGCTGGCAGCCCGGGCGTCCGGGCGGTGTTGGGAACGCGGCCCCTTTGGGTGCTGCTGGGGTGGCGGTGGCGGGAAGATCCCGCTCGCCTTCGCCTCTGGGTCTATAATGTTGAAAAGCGCGTTCACGTTCTATCTGTGACTACCGGTCCTACCCTGTATGTACCTTTTCCCGCCAGATCCTGCTAGGCCGACTGGGACAGCTTTTTCTTTTCCACCCTTGGTTTTGCACGCGCGCGGGAATTGCAAAATATGACAGTATTGCAATGATGCGTGTTGCCAGACTGATTGGCAAAGGGTGCTTGGGACTGGGGGGTGGGAGGGGAGGACGACACGGACTCGCGGCCTGTCCCGTAGGTGGCAGCTCGAACCCAGCAGCACGTGGAGACACAGTAGGGATGGGGGCGGGAGCGGCCAGCCTGGTGAAGCACTGGCCCATTTCTCCGCCCCTCTCCCCGCCCAGGCTTAGTAAACAGGACTTGAGCGCTGGGGCCTGCGGGCAGGGCTGAGTGTCTCTGGACGAGGCGCTGGCTTTGCTAATCACATCACAAGACCTTGAGCCTGGGCCAAAGGCGCGGAGTGGCGCGGTGTGTCCGGGGCGGGAGAGCCTGCTCGGGGAACTAGAGGGAAGTCGGGGAAGCAGTATGGACGTGGAGGAAGTCACTTCCTTCATTCACCTTTGTCTGCCGGTTGGCCTGGCCTCCCCAGTCCTCTCGGGTGGGGGTGCAGCTGCTGGCTAAGGCTTCCCGCCCTGCACAGCCTTAGCCTGTCGAGTCCTGCAACCTTCTCTCTTGGCCTATGGGAGGCACCGCATCGAATCTAAGCTCTGTGCTGACTGCAGGAGACGGTGGTTGCTGAACCGCCACTCGGGTTTGTGTGTGTGTGTGTGTGTGTGTGTGTGTGTGTTCGCGCGCGGGCGGGGGGGGGCGAAGGAGGGTCCTAGTCTGTTGTTTTTGGTGTAACCCCCATTAGCTTTCAATAGAAAAAATGAGCTTTCCCAAAAGTCGCCCGGCTCTTTCTGAGAGGGGGCAGACACCCCCACCTAGCGCCCAGTGAGGCTAAAGCCATCCACAGCTTTTCTCAGCCGACCGATTTGGAATCAGGTCTTTTTTCTCTACACTGACTCCATACTGGCTGCCAATAGCTGGAGCTGGGCCCGTGATTTCACCCAGCTGGCAGCTCAGGCTGCCCTGGGTGGAAGGCCCAGCAGCTGCCAGGGAAGGACGATTGATCTACACCCTTCCCACGTTGCTCTTCCTGTCTGCTTGCACTCTGTCCAGTATGCACCTGGGCTGTATCAGTTAACCTGGAAGGGAAGGAGGTAGGACCTGTCACTCAACAGGCTCCCGAGTTCAGCGTGCATTTGCTGACCACAGAGGCGCCTGCTGCCCCTGTAGTTACAGCCCAGGGCAAAGCTGGAGGGCTTCAGGGTAAAAAATTAGTGCTGAGTGGGTATAGCTCCTATAAGCCTAGCACCTGGGAGGCTGAGTTGCATTTTAGGCCAGCCTACCACAGCTCAGTGGGAGACCATACCTCAATAAAGGACAAACCAAAAAAAAAAAAAAATGGATCGGAGCTGAGGTTCAGACTCCGTAAGTCACGTGGTCTGGGCAGATCACACGGTCTGTTTGGTACTTGAGTTTTCTTACTTTTAACACGAATATAAAATTCATCCTTTACTCATCCCTCTGTCACTTCTGTCCAGGCACAAAATACCCAAGGTGTCCAAAAGGTAGATAAAGCCCACACCATCTTACACAGTCAAGCAAACTGGCTTTTGACTGTGGCCCGAGCAGAGGGACTGAGGGTCACCCAAATCTTAGGACCCTAGAGCTTGGAGTCAAAAGCAAGTAGTGACTTCAAGAAAGATGGCTGCTTCACTGTTCCCATCCGTGTTGCTTGGTCCCCTAGACAGTTCTGGGTACCTGTGGCCTAAATGGCCCCAAACAGAAACTCTGTGACTAAGGTTTTCCAGGTTCCTCTCAGGAAAGTGTGGAGCAACCATACCCCTAGCTGCAGCTAGAAGGGTTTCAGATACAAACCCGCAGAAGCATCTATTCCTCCTGTCTCTCCCCCCCCCCCCCCCCAGGCTGGTCCTAGCCAGTCAAGATCCAAATCTGGGGCAATTCCCAGCCAGCAGTGGCGAGAACACCCACTGGGTAGACTTGGTAGGATGCACTTGGAGATAAGGTAGCCATGTTCTGGTGCATGCTTTGGTGCAGCGTGCCTGCTAGTGTGAGATAGATTTATTGTTATGTAACTGCTTTTATTTCATTCCAGATGGGTGGGGAGAGGGACGGTTGCTTTCGCCCATGAGCTGGCCTTCGTTGGGCCCTGATCAGAATTAATCTCCCACAGTTATCATTCCCATGACACAAACCACCAGCCCCTCTCACCAAGTAGATCTTAGAGTAAAAAAGTAGGGTAAAGCTGGGCGTGGTAGTGTGTGCCTATAATCTTGGCACTAGGGAGGCAGAGGCAGGAGGGTTAACACAAGTGTGAGGCCAGCTTGGGGTAAATAGCTACCCCCCGGCTCTGAAAAGCAAAACCAAAAACAAACTAGAAAACATTAGGTGTTTAATTTTTCAAGGGTGGGCTAGACTGGTGCCTAACTAGGTAATTACTACAGGATCATACAAACCATACCTGGTGCCGAATGTTTGCAAAACCACCTAGGGGGTTTCTGGTCCTCCTCAGAGATGCTAGAGACACTGCCCTGTCTTTCCTCTTCCTAAAGACAAGTTCTTTACTTTTTTTTTTTTTTAAGTGGTACTGGACGGTATTAGTCTCAAGGACCAATTCCATTTGAAATCGCAGCTTTTCTGCAGAAGGAAAGTAAATGCCTCTCTAGTCTTTCCCCATAAACCTAAGTGACCAATCATCTGGGAACATATTTACAGTCCCTACAAGTTTCTAACCATTGCTGGCATGGTCTTGTAGGTAGCTAGGAATGTGCATCAGGCTACAGCACATCCAGTTTGATGGGACCTGTCTGTGGTGAAAGTATGCATTACCAGTGGTAAGCCAGGTCGGCAATGCTATGGCTCAGTGGATAAAGGCTCTTGCTATGCAAGCCTGAACCTGAGTTGGATTTCTGGAACCCATGTAAAGGTGGAAGGAGAGAACTGACTGTCTTCTAACTTCCACAGACATGCATGCTGTGGCATGGGTGCCCGACCATCATGCACAGTGCTGATAATAGTTTAAAATAAGTTTTAAGATAGTAAACTAAAGAACTAGACAAGCAGCATAATGTGTGCAAGGGCGCCACCTGCTGGGTATCTGGGGAAGCCTGTTGGCTGGGCTTGGAACTGAGGAAAAACCCTTATGGTTTCTAGATGGAATCGCTGAAGTGGATTAAATGTGTTTATTAACATCTGAAATAAGAGTCGTTTCATTGCGTCCACCAATCACAGCACAGTAAGCAGTGTAGGCGTCAGACTAATCAAGCCATTGTTCAGGCTTCTCTTTCACCCAAACTCCTTCAAATAGCTGATGGCAACAACCAGATTTCCTAGCACTCACAGACATTTCTGGAAAAGACAGGAGGAACTTGTACCTGTAGATAATAAAACGCAAGTATTTGCCTGGGGTGGATTCTTAGTTCTCCCAGAACCCAACACTTGGGACATATTTTTCCTTTGCTAAAATGGAAGAAAGTTTAGAAATATGGCCAAATAGGCTGTTTGGTAAGCATTCCAGCTCCTATACAGAGCCCAAACCAAAACAGACAAAAGAGCAGTGTGTGTGTGTGTGTGTGTGTGTGTGTGTGTGTGTGTGTGTGTGTGTGTGTCTGTACGTGGGGTGGGGGAACTTGTGTGTGCTAAAACTCATAGTCAGTGTATGGAAAATATACTCTGGCTGGACTGGCAGTTCTTCATGATAGAAAAGGCTAATTCAGGCCTGCAGGTGGCCTGCACCTGGGAACAGAGTAAATACTCAACATAGTAGCCTCACTTCCTAGGGGAGAGCTGCGATAAACGATAAACGGCTGCCTTGAATGAGTGTAAAGACAAAGCACTCTGGAGGAAGGAGCTTAGGCTCCCAGAAGTGGGGGAGGCACAAAAGGAAAGAGTTTCAATTTCTGTCCAACATGTTTCTTGTAGAGCAGAGCTGGGGAGAGAGTCGGCTCCCTGGCCCCAGCCAGCCATCTCTCAGCATGCTGCTTCTGTTCTTGGGGCCATTAACTGTCTCCGTTCCCTAGGACAGTCTTCGGCTCTGAGAACTTCCTTTCCTTCCAGGAAGGCCAGCAGCCTCAGGACAGCCCAAGTCCTTTCCTCCTGAATGCGCAGCCTCGTGTACTCCACTGTCTTCAAAAATTCAGCCGAGAGTGGAAGTTCTCTGAAGAGCTGAGAGACAAGGTGACGCTGCTCTGATGCTATCATTTGCAGGTGACAAAGCTTCTGGGAGTGAGGGGACGGCCAGCCAGACTGACGAAGGAGATGGAAGAGTTGCCTACATAGGTATTTCACGAAGGTCAGAGTCTCGGCCCAAAAGTTGACTTCCGATTTTTCGAATATGTAGTCATCTTCTCCCTACATCAGATGAAAACCACCCACAGTGAGCCTTATAGGGAATGCTGCCAAGCCCCAGGCACACCACATAAGGCCTTGCTAGATGTGAGAGCTGTGTCTCCTCCAAAGCTGACAGAGGGCCCACTTGAGCCTGTCAACACCGTGCCCACCGCCTGCAGCCCTGAAGGTCACCCTTCTACTTTCATTCTTTGTACTTCTCTACCAGAGAGGAATGTCTCACTCCAGACGTAACATGACCTTTGATAAAGATGTGTAAGTAGCTCCAAGCCAAGATATTTTGGGGAACTAATGGTGAAAAGAGGACCTTGCCAAGGAAGCAGATCTTAGATTTTAAGGGGTACTGAGAAATCAGAGGAGGGCGCAAGGGAAATCTCGGCAGCAGAGCAAAGACATATTGAGAACATGCATGACACCAGTCTTCCAAGAGCAAATTTCCAGGCTTTTCAAGGTCATTTTCTCAAAACCACTTCACTACATCGCCACATTTCCTATAAACAGACTGGGGTTTGAACTCTGTCTGCTCAGGATGCCAAGGTAGTGAGCAGAGTCACATGAGTGGGCACAGATTTCTGTCTCCCAATGCCTGTGTTGCCTCTGCTGGTCTTCAGTTTCCAGATGTGTTCCCTGTCACGTGGGAAGAGGGGTCAAGCACCATGTTTCCTGGAAGGACCCTAATTCTTGGGAAATGCTTAGACTCAGAGCTGTGAGGACCACTGCCCATACTAAAATCAAATGATACGCATTTCTCAGTCTTATTTTCGATATTCAAGGTGTATTTTTTAAAGTGTCCTTCCCCACCATCTGAAAGCTTGTCGTGGAGAGTAAGCCTCAGCGAGTGTGTGCTGTGTGTACCCCCAGGAGATTTCTCCTAGTCAGTCTCTACTCTGCCTTAGCGCGGCCCGACACACTTTTACCATCAGAGACTGTTGGTGCTATATCCAGAGGCCCAGGACACTGCCTGCCTCCAAGCTCCCTGAGTAGCTGGGGTTACCTGATGTGGGCTCTGTACAAGGTCCTGTGGGTCATCATCCTCTCCTAGCAGCCATCCCAGCAGAATGGGCAGTCCTGGTACCAGCTGGTCCCACTGCCGGAGCAAGTCACACAGAACAGCTAAGGCCAAGGCCAGAGCAATGGAGGCATTCACTTGGCAGAAGGCAAATTCTGTAGAGAAAGGAACAAGGCAATCAATGAATGTAGGTCAGGGAGTCTCAGATAAAATCCCTGTCACCACACTGCTCACTGAAGGCCCCTAAGCCTCTCCTGGTCCTTCTCTCTGTACTGCTAGAATGAGTTCTAAGCCTGAATCGCACTGCCCTATCCTATTCTAGAGCAGCCCCAACCACAGGACTAGACTTCTGTCTTAGCCCCACCAGCACAGTGGAAGGAGAGGGAGCTGTCATCTTAGAGTGGCATCACACGCCCCTCACCTGTTTTGCATGGTCCACGCATTAGAGACGGTTCATAGAGATGGTGGCTGTGTGCCAATAAAGTGTTATCTATACATGCTGCCATTCAAATTTCATGTGTAAAAACACAGTCTTTCCCCCTTTCAACTTTCCTCCTCCTCAATACATGGTCCAGTGCTGGGATTCCAAACATGTGCACCATATCTGGTTTGTACTCAAGGATCTCCTTGAACTTCTGATCTTTTCTGCCTTCATCTCCCAAGTATTGGGACCGCAGGTGTGTGCTACTATGTCCATTCAGTGTTACGTGATACTGGGGCTAAGTGCTCTAGCAAGCATTCTACCAACTGAGCTAATCCCCAGCTCTCAACCATTTAGGAACGTAAAACCCTATGCACCTCACAGGCCACCCAGAAAAAGGTGGTGCACTGGGTTTTGGTCCTAATTTTTTGTGCTTTACAAGTTCTCTACCACTAAGCTATGGCCTTAGCCTAGGGTCTTGCTGACATTTGGTTGCCTTTGTATGGATAGTAATTCCCTCTTCTGTCCTCTGACTTTCTGAGGAGGAGATGCTGAAAGAGCAAGTGTAGAAAGAGGAAGTAGGTATCTTGGGGAAACCCTGCTTACTTGACTGTGTAGCCTTAGACATAAATGTGGAGTTGCAAGCAGGTTCGGGGTATTGACAATTCTACCACTAATTCAACTCTTCTCACTCCAACAGCAGGCAGCCTGAACCTCAAGACTTTGTTAACTCAGAGAGTAGGTCTTTGTGGAACCCCCCCCCACCACTTAATGATGCATTTCTATTGAACCCTCCTATTTCCCAAATCTACAGTCCCAGCTCCAGCCCAGATGTCCCTGGCCATCTGATACCCAGATGAACCTGCTCAGCACACAGGAAGGAGGTTGAAGTCTGGAATAGAAGGCCGAGTCCCTCAGGGTGTTGAGCCATGGGGGCCACCATGGAAGGTCCACGGCACATGTAGCCCTGTTCAGAGTTTGGTCAGGAGCTATGCTTTTCTTTTCTTTTTCTTTTTTTTTTTTGGTGGTGCCAGGGCCTTGTGAATGTCAGGCAAGTCCTGTGCCTCAGTCCCCCACAGTTTGAGGACTGGGTGTCACTACTTTTGCTTCACAGATAACTCCAAGTGGCTCTCAAGAATGCAGAGTTGCCAACAATTTCATTTCGTATGAAGCAATGGAGAGCAGCAGGCACATCCCAGGAGCATGAGTGTTCTTATGTGAGATAAGCAGTCAGCGGCTGTCCAGTGCAGCTCTCAGATGTTCGCCATACTTCAGCCATGCTGGCCTTCGTACTCTTACTCATTTAAAAAGGCACAGGTGTGAAGCTGTATTATGGAGTCAGCATCAGGCTGGCTGATCCTGAGACCTTCCAGAAAAATTTACCTTCTGCCTGACCTTCCTCCTTTTTTTTTTTTTTTTTTTTTTTATCTTAAGGCAAGGACTGAAAACGCTACAGGAAAGGTAGAAAGTTCTTCCACCAGGCCAGGTGTGCTGGAACACACCTTTAATTCCAGCAGTTTGGAAGCAGAGCTCCACAAGTTCAAGGCCAGCCTGGTCTACCTACATAGCGGTCCAGGTCAGCCAGGGACACACAACATGTCCTAAACAAAATTCGCTTAACAGTAAAATCAGTGCCTGCAGCACAGACGACAGACACATCTGTGGGTGTGACTGGACATGCCACCAGGAAGGCCAGGTTGCCACACTGGTCCCACCTAACAACAAAATGACTTCCCTCTGTGCCATTAATCATCCTTAGGAAGGATGCCAGGATAACAGGCACAAAAAGAATGTGTGGTGTGACTGGACATGTACCTGGGGATTATCACAGCCCTGTGCACTACGGAGAAAGCCAGGAAGGTGGGGTGTTGGGATTAGATGGAGTGGGTCTCCTGCTTCTGGACCAGGTACAGCCTACACATTCCCTGGCTGGCTGACTTACCTGGCCCTAGACTAAACTTGGTCAGATGAGCCCAGATCTCTGCTAGTCAAGCTGCCTCTCAAAGGGAGGCTGGGGAAGAGCCAAGGGGATTTTCCACTTAGCACTCGGCTGGCAAGTCAATCAAGGAAATGAGAAAGCCAGCAGCTAAGCAACAAGTGTGGTCAGCAGACCCAAAGGAGCTTGAAAAAACAGAAACTAAAGACTAATCCAAGAACTCTCCTTTTTGGATTTCAAAACTTAAAACAAAGCTATGGGAATCAAGGCAATGCAGATGAGGGGGGAGGGCAATGCCGAGTGTGCGAGCCTGTGCTACTGCTGGGGACTGAACTCAGAGCTTCATGCATGTTAAGCAATCACCATCAGTGAACTACAGCTCTAGCTTGATAGTGTGTTTCGAACAAAATGACAGACACACGAATTAGTGAAATCCAAGTGCAGAATCAGGGTCTGGGGATGTAGGTCAGCTGATATAGGGCTGCCTACTATGTCGAGTCCTGAGTTTAATCCCTAGCACCTTATAAACCAGGTGCATGTCTGTAATACCAGCACTCTGGAGAAGATGGCAGGAAGATTAGGAATTATGGTGAGTTCAAGGCTAGCTGGTTAACCAAAATGCTGCCAAAAAACAAAACACCCCAAAACAAGAGGGCTTGAGTGACGGCTCAGCGGTTGACACTTGGTACTTTTTCAGAGGACCCGATTTCAGTTCAGTTCCCAGACTCATGTTGGGCAGGACACAACCACCTGTCACTCCAGCTCCAGGGGATCCATCATCCCCTTCTGGCCTCTGAAAGTACCTGCAGGTACACACACACACACACACACACACACACACACACACACACACACACTTTAAAAACAAAAGACATATTACCAAATCAAACAAAACCAATAAACCCCACAAAGATTACTTCGAAATGACCAGGGTGAATGCAGAGAACAATAAAAAGGCAGGTATGTTTTTAGTCAAGGTATAAAGGAAAACAAAAAAAAGGAAGGACCCCTTCCAGTTTGCTGGTAGGACTGTTGAATGGTGCGGCCCCACTGGAAAACAAACTTTCAGTTCCTCACAGGACTGAGCACAAGACCCTTTCTACTCCTAGGCCTATCCAAGAGAAATTAAGAAAGAGCCTGCATTCCAACAAACATCTGCTGAGCACTCATAATGGCCTTGTTCATAATGCCAGAGAGTAGAAATAAACATCTGCTTCCTGAAGAGCGGGCCGGGTGGGCAGGCCAGCCTGCCATTGAGGCAATGGACAGCAAGGGCAACATACACTCGACGGAACAGTCCAGACCCCAGGAGTCATAGGAGACGGGGATGGGAGAGGTCTAAACCAAGAAGAAACACACTGGTGGCCCTACCCCTGTGAGCTCTTTCGGCCCAAAGGTGGAAAAGTTCTATGTCTGAAGGAACATTATACTACCATTATTTGACATTTAAGAAAATACTTGGTGGGAGGGAACAACTTTTCAAATACTAGAATTTTGATTTTGCTTTCTTTTCCACCTGTTTCCAAAGGAAACACATGGCCTAGGCTCCCAAAGTTCTTGCCGTCTTTACCTCTCCACAGTGTGAGCTGTGCAGGTGAGGATCTGGTACTACAGATATAGAAACAAATTATTTTATCAAGCACCGGCACTGCCCTCTTCTTTTGTTTCTTCTCTTCCTCTTCTTTATCCCTCCTAAGACAAGGTTTCTCTGTGTAATAGCTCTGGCTGTCCTGGAACTCACTCTGTAGACCAGATTGGCCTTGAACTCAGAGATCCCTGCCTCTGTCTCTAGAGTGCTGGGATTAAAGGTGCAAGGTGTGCAGTACCACTGTCCAGCCTTGGTTTTTTGTTTTTTTTTTTGAAGACAGGACCTCATTGCAGACTAGTCTGGCCTCAAACAGACTTCATAGATAAAGACAACCTTGAACTCTTGCCTTTTCTGCCTCTGTCTCTGAAATGTTGGGATTACAGGTCTGTGTTACAATGCCTGGCTCCTTTTATTTTAAAAAAAAGATTATTTAAAAAATGATTTTTAAGGAGATTTATTTTTATTTCATTTATATATATGAGAGAGAGAGAGCGAGCGAGCTAGAGCGAGCACGCGAGTGTCAGGCGCCCTTGTCGGATACCCTGGAGTTGAATTCCAGGCAGTCATTTGAGAGGCCCTGCATGGATACACGGTGCTGGGACCCGGGCTCTAGTCCTCTGGAGCAGCTGCAGGTGCTCTGAACACTGAGTCATCTGCAGATGTTACCTAAATGCTTTAAAGTTGAAATAACAATAATTTAGAAAATACAAATTCACATCAAAGAACTGGGCAAATGCCTTCCCCCCTCAATTTTATTTATTTATTTAATTTTATTTTTTGTTTTTGAGACAAGATTTCACTATGTTGCCTTGAATGACCTGGAATTTGCCATGTTCACCATGCTGGCTTGAACTCACAGTGATCCGATTGCCTCTGCCTCCAGGGTGCCTCTCAATTTAAAAGACAGATGCAGCTGGGCGGGAGAGATGGCTCTTCCAGAGGATTGGCGTTCCGATCCTAGCACCCACATCCAGTGGCTTACAACTGCTTGTAAATTGAGGTTCTAGGGAGCCAATTGTCTTAACTTTTGGCCTCTGCCTCCTGGGGACATCTGTATTCACCAGCACATACCTTTTCCTCCTTCAGGTAATTAAAACAAATCTTTAAAAAAAGAAAGAATACATCTAATTTCAAGCCAAACAAGCACTTCCTAAGAGCCAGAGTTCATGGACACAGGTCACCGCTGCTTCTCGACATGCGCAGCAGAAGT